ATCTGCGATAATGAACGCGATATTGCCTAATTGTCAGTGAACTACGGCTCTGTGTATTAAATGCCGCTCCATCTGAAAGCAGGTGATGGAGATTTACTACTAATCACGGAACCGGCTTTACTGACGAGATGCGCATGACAATCGCATGCAATTAATTGCACAGCCCTAATGTAGACTCAAAACCACTATGTTGTAGATTATGTTGGCATTTTAATATGGTGAGCATAAAAACCTTTGATAGAAGGATGTAATCTCAGAAGTCCCCAGTTAACACAAAAAAGATCCAAAGATCAAGGAACCAGTAAGAGACACAATGAGCTTGATGAGAGAACTTTAAAGGAGCATTGTAGGAAAAAGTTTTTACTTGATGTTGTCTTTTTCATGCTTAATTACTATGGCTAATATTCTGATGCAAATATTCTTTCATAGGCCAGTAATGGACAGTGGTACCAGATGAATGACTCAATGGTGCATTCCAGTAACATCAAGGTTGTCCTTAATCAGCAGGCCTATGTCCTCTTTTACCTGAGGTAATATTCATGTTGTTTCATCTACTCTTCATATTGCAGTAGCCAGTAGAGATGCCTCATTTTTACAATCACATCTTTTCTGTGGCAGGATCCCTGAAAAGAAAAATACAGATGCTTCAAATACAAAGCAGAACATAGTGCACTCTGGGAGAACTAATATGACACCGGAGCAGCTGAAGAAGAGCACACTCAATGGACCTTTGTCTTCACCACAGGTTATGAAGGTAAGAAAGTGTGAAATGTGAGGAGAGTTAAAATCTGAAACCCATGAGATAATCATACAAAAATGTGTTTTTTGAAAAACATTATTTCTGTTAATTTGACACACAAAAATATGTCTTGATATGCAGTGTTTTTCTACTTTACCACATTAAAAGATGTGAATATAGGGATTAAAAGTGATAGAAAGGTGGTAAATAAACATTTGTATAAATAAATCACCTGCAAGGTCTGAGGGTGAGATTTTGGGAAGAGAAATAAGAAATTCAATGTGGACTAACTCGTAGAAAAGCATTTAAATTGTGGGAAAATTAGGTTCCATTTTTGAAGCATAAACCCCATTAAAAACGATGCAAGCTTCGGATCTTCCAATGTTTCTCTATGGCACTGAAACCTACAGATGTCCGAGTTCCGCTCCCCGTGCAACTGATACTCGACTGCCATTGGCTCATCTGCGTTTGAGGGGAGGGGCTTAACGTTAGGTCAATTGGTCACTACTCTCTGGAATACTTAATTCTGATTGGCCAGTCACAACATTGAGGTCAAGTCTTTTGTATAATGGTTGTACATTTCACTATTGTCTGTGGCAACTTACCACCAAATTCAATGTGGACTAACTCGTAGAAAAGCATTTAAATTGTGGGAAAATTAGGTGGGCAGCTCCCAAAACAATGCAAACCCAATATATGGCTTAATTAAAATTTGTATGTACATGTATCTCTCTAATGCACCGCCAAGTCTCTTTGGAATAAAAGTCACAGCACATTTCAGACTTATATTCTAGAAATTACATCATAATCATGTCTAGCGTGTTAAAGAGTCAAAAGAGGCTACCGCTGCATAACATCACATTTGTTCAAAACCTCTTATTTTTCCTTTTTCAGAAGCTTGATCCAGCTCACCTGAGGAAAATCCAGTCTGTGGATGGGGGTCTTGGTATTCCAGTAGCCAGAAACTGTTCAGGGGTCCAATCGCCGAAGATGTCTAATGGTACGGGGAACTCCCATGCCCCGCCCAAGCTGCCCAGTGGACCCACACTGATCGAGGAGCCCTTTAAGAAAGTGAAGAAGCCCATACCTCAGCCTCAGTCCCGCAGCAGCACTCCTGCTCCATCCAACGGCCTCCCCAGACCAGACACCGACAAGAGGAGCAACAGCGAGGGCCGCGGCCTGCCATCATCTACCTCACTCAAATCCCTGTCTGACAGCTCCTCAGCAGACACTTCCTCTGAGTCTAAAGTAAGTCTCCATAGCCTTGTATGTGCTGTTTAAGTGGTGGATTTTGTCAAGAAAAGTGACAGTCATACAAGAGTTTTGGTTAATGGTGACATGGTTTATTTCTTTAAATAGAAAATCTCTGAATACCAAATTCAAGTCTGAAGATGTTTCCCTTTTAGTTAACTCTAAATATTCATTGAATATTCACATTATTAAAGTACAGTGGGTTGTAAGTTAGGGCCCTGCAAAATCTGTTTTTAATCCCAAATTCCATTTAATTTTTTTCCAAATTCTGTTTTTTTCTGTTTTAATTTTTCAGGATTCCGTATTTTTTCCTGTTTTAATTTTTCTAGATTCTATTTTAATGGTTAAATTAAATGTTATTCATCAAAAAGCATGTATATTTAATTGAAATGAAAACTTACAATATTAAACGTAATAAGTTTAACAAAAATAAAATTAAGGCCCTATGAAATGTTTTTTTTTTTTACCAAATTCTGTTTTCCATTAATTTTCTGGATTCCATTTTAAATGTTTCTTTAAATATTAATAATCAAAAGCATCTCTAATTAATAGATTTTATTTAAAAAGTAGTTTATTATTTTATTTATTTATTTTTCAGAAATACTGCTAAATAATTCTGCTAAATAAATTCTGGTAAATTTATCTGGCAAATATTCCTTTAAAATAATGTTTTAATAATTTTATTATTATTAGTAGTAGTAGTAGTAGTAGTACTATCATTACATTAGGTAATATTTCTGTCATAGTTTCTTCAAGTTAAACTGAACTTTTATTTTGACGGGTTGTTTTGAAGACCTTTAGGTTTCTGTTTGCTATGATGATAGATTTTCTCAAAAGAAACGGTAAAATGCTCATGAAGTGACTCTCGGAGCAGTTCTAGAGATTGTACATGTACTCATATATTGAGGCGGCAGAGTCTGAAAACACAGCAAGCATCACTTACATTTCAGTATGTGTGTAGTAGCTTCTCTGAGAGTCACTTCACAAGCTTTTTAACCTTTTGTTTAAGGAGACTATCATCAAATACATACTGCAACCGCCAAATACACAATACAAACCTCCAAAATAAGTTTGGTTTAACTTGAAGAAATTATGACGTAACTATATTACTCCTCTATGCTACAATGTACTTCTCAAAGTAATAATAATAATATTTTTAAGGAATATCATATAACCAAAGAACATTTTTCATCCATGTTTTAATTCTGTTAATCCAGTTCTTAGGGGGTCTTATTTGAAACAAATAAATTACAATTAAAATGGAATGCTTTGTTGTTCATTTGATTTCATAAAAAAAAGTATTATTAGTTTAATTGGACACCACTTTTGATCATAAAACACAGAATCTAGGAAAAAATAAAATGGAAAATACAGAATTTAGTGGGAAAAAATGGATTTCATGGGGCCCTAAATTAAAAGGTAGCTACTCCATGGAGTTTAATTGTGAACAAACGAGTTACGTTTATATTCATTCTCAAGGCTTAACAAACATGTGGAAAGCATTTCCTTCCCCATTGTACATAAATATTGTGATAAATATCAATATAATATAACCTGATAAACATTGTGATTAATATTTTTGGCCAAATCGCCTAGTTTGATGTTCATCTCAGATGTCTTTTTTGTTTTCGTTCAGGAGTCTATTGGCACGAGGAGCGCACCTGTTGGCAACATGTCTAGTGTGAACAGTCCAGCATCTCCAGCTAAGAGCACAGAGCGTGTGAACTCGGAGGAGCAGAAGATGGTGAAACTGAAACCCCAGGCCCTCACCAATGTCTCATCAGAGCCCGTCAGCACCATGTCCCCCCCGCCCGCCAAACGACTCGCCCTGTCTGCCAAGAAGGTCAGTCTACCAGCCCCATCCACCCTTGTTTCATCTGCTGGTGGTTTTTAAGTCCGTTTGTGTGTTTGCCTTCCCATGTTTGTCCACTTCATTCCTTGTCGATGTACGGGTGTTGAAAAAGTATTGGAGCCTTGACATGTTGCTCACACTGGCCAGTAATAATACAATAATAATAAGTTTACGTCTTTCAGCTTATGTCTGTTTTGTGGGTTCGCAGTCTGCACTGCTGTCCTTTTTAAAAATTTATTTTATTTTTTTATTTTTTATTTCTAACAACTTCTAATTCTTCTCTGCTACACTTTCTTTTTTCCTTCCCCCTTCCTACTTTTTTTTTTCTTTCTTTTTGTTTGGTCTTGATGATTTCTTCCCATATGGGTCCCTTTGTCATTGACACGTTTCATGGCTGTTTTTTTATTTTATTTTATATTTTTTTAGACCACAAAGTTTTTATTTATGTCAATAACTGCAGGCCAGTCCCCGGCAGAGCCCGAGCAGCAGCACTGAGGCTCCGCCCCCTTCATCTCATCATCTGTCCAGTGACCCCTCACACCTTCTCAGCCGGGACTCCACCCACCCGCACCACAGGTACTCCCTCGCTCTGAAAGTGAGAGCAGATTCGGTTGAATTTTAACTTTCCTTTTCGGGTGAAATCACCAAGCCTTCAACCATTTGTCAAAATAGATGCGCTTTTCACAATCCAATTGATTCCAGTGGAACATATTTGATATTTATATTTGATTTGATGTGACTGAAGGCTGTTAGGAATAGGAGTATAGTCTATTAAGTATTAAAAACAAAACTTTGTGATTAATGGTAAATTTAAGTTTAGGCTCTGGGTCGGTGAGCTGCATCAGAGCTGCTTTGCTGTTGTCATGACACTCGGCACACATCTTGCTTGCTTTCGACTGTGCACATCCCACGTTTCCCTGCTAAAAAATCTAGTGAGCTGAGGTTCTGTTTTAATGCAGCAAAGGCTGTTGCAGAAGGTGGGCAGCTCTTAAAATATTTTGCTGAATTCTAAGGCAGCAATGATTGTCGTTCACTGACAAGAAAACCCCAGAAATCATTGTGGAAAGTTGTAAAAGAAATGCTTATAAATATAGTGAAATCAGAACTGAAAAGCTTTGATGATAATAGTTGTGTGTGTGCGCGAGCGTTTTTGTGACAAATGAGGACATAAATTTGTATAATGACAAAGGTATGACATAGGTATTACAAGGAGAAGGTGACTTTTCAGGACATTATATTTGTTCATTAGAGTCATTGCTGTTAGGGATGCACCGATACTGGTATCGGGTCCGATACTGCGCTCCTGTACTCGTAAAAATGCCCCGATACCACAAGTCGATACCAAACAGCATCTGAATAGAGCTGTGTCCAGAAAAAGGAACACTGAAAACAGAACAACAGAGAGTAGAATGGAGTTATTAGAGATTAAGGATGTCTATGAAGTACATGTAAGTAATTAATATAATGTTAAACATTCAATATTCACGCCTGTATAGCGGATATGCCCGAGCTGATAAGCATGGCGCGCTGAGTGGATTGAGCGCGCGGCTGCACAGATGCGCAAGCTTGTCGAGTGAATATCTCACAGACATCACTGGAAAGTTTGTAGTTCGGTCGGATATGTCAAAAGCAAGTAAGTAAAACAATGCACAAGTTACTAAAGTTATTTGACGGTAAGGAGAGAGAGCGAGAGAGAGAGAGAGTCCAAGAGCGCGCACTTCTGTTGCATGATCTTGATTGCTGTTCGCTCAATTAGCGCATGCATTTGGATTAAAACTAAATCGTAAATATAAAACAAACAGAAATTATAGGGGCATTCACTATAAACAGCATTTAGTTTAAAAATCAAGCATACATAACTTTATTTAAAGCAGAAGTGAAACTAGCAGACTGGGTGAAATGTGCTAGGCTGTAAGTGTCTCTCTCATTCTGCACCAATACAAACGTGTGCACTGCATATGTTTAGCTTGCTTTAAGGCCAAAGTATACTTCGGTTTTTACTCGTACGCGAGGGTCCGTGTACACTGCGCGTGACGCAAATTACATCACCAAAATAGTAC